GATTCTACAGTGCTGAAAATACTCTATGCACGCGCAGTTCGATCCAAAAATCATATGATAATTTGAGACCGGGTTGGTGCGTGCTGAGGTTGAACCGTCTGAGATTACCCCCACGCCTAGGTAGTCAAAATAATGTTTAATTTCATAATTCATCACTCCTAGGTACTGAGATTATTATTATGGATACTGTAACATGTTTCCTATGTTTTATGTATTACTGAGAATTAAATAAGAATAAATGACTTCATGACCATCGTGTCAATACCTTATCGTTTCCGAGTTATAACACATGACAGTTGAGATTAGAATGTGATAAAATATAATGAGGATAAATGAAATATCCAATTATGCTACAATCATATGCAATCTGATGTGGATTTTACAGTAAATGTTCAAAATTCTGGCGCCCTCTTCCTGATATTTTATGTTTTATGTCCATAGACTTTTTGCAGTCCTCCCCTACCCAATAACTCCGAAACACACACACACACACACTCTCTCTCTCTCTCTCTCTCTCTCTCGTTTTATATTTTTCTAGGCAACAAATTCCAACGCAAAGAATCTTTCCAAACCATTGACTTCCCTGAACCTGTTAGGTTAAGTGAGATGTGATAACTTTTGAGATGATGTAAGGACTTACGCGGTATTACTACAGCTTAAAGTTTTAGTGACCTTACGAGTTGGAGATATTACTATTGATAAAAAATCATAACTGGCATCAGACAGTTATAGTATTTTAAATAACTTAATTATTATTGTTTGATTTTCAATTAAGCCGGGAGTTAGATGAGGCTGTTGGCTATCTCAAAATTTTACTAACCATGCTATGAGCTGAAAGACCTTAGTTGTTGAAGCGCAGTCATAACATTATAACAACAACAACAACAAAGTTACAATCAAATGATACTAACTTTTTTATTTGCAAGATAATATTAACTACTGTATTTCAATATGCATATGATACTGTTCTTACTGGAGGCAGCGAAGAGATATTACAAAAACTGATTAACAGGTGAGTGGAAAGAGTAATGGACGTCTCCAAATAAAAAACAACAACAAGACAAACAGCAATTATAGTCAGTAAAAGAAAACTTAAGTTAAATGTATTGTATTTTTCAGAAGCAACTGAAGTTATGATGGCGAATATGAAAGAGAAAATGAAATCATATCTCTTGAGGTGGGGAGACAGAATAATCTTAGCGATGTATGATAATGGAATATTGGTTTTAATTTGAGAAAAAAAGTTTGTTTAAATGGTTACGAGTGGTTTGTATTGCTGCGCGGGTCAGAAACTTGAGCAATTATGACTGACATCAGGAGACCGGAAGGTAAAGTAATATGGTGTTAAAGGAAAATATAAAAATTAAGTCATACTGATAGAAAAACAAGATGAATGAATATATAGACCATAGGAGCAACGAGAGAAATACTGTTAATGAAATCCCTTGGTCAAGTAATTAGCCTTGAAGGGACAGGAGCGGAAATATTAATAGGTAAAAGTGCAGATAGAAGTGTGAGGGGAAGGAGGGGTGTGTAGGATGGATGAATACAATTAAAAGCACAGTCCCCTCGTTAGATTAAACCTGATTAGCGAAAGACATCAGCGCTATAATATTTGGAAGAGTGTCCTTCGTGTATTGGCTCTGGATATGCAAAATAGAATACCGTAGTCATGTGCCAGAGGTTTCCCGCATCTGTGTGTGTTGGAGAGGACAGTTGGTTTCCTATGAGTCAGGTATTTCTACTTTGAAATATCTACTCATTTCCCTCTTCCACCTCATTTTCTTCTGATGTTGTGTTCTTTTTTTCTTTGATGTTGACTCGACAATGAAAGACAATGCGTTTGAAAGCATAATGTGTACGAGTATTTTCTTAAAAGGCTAGGGACGCTGCGGACCGTCTTCCTGATCATTATTAATATATTTCCGGCCAGCATGGTAAAAATGGAGAAGCAAAAAGAGAGAGGAAGCAACTAGCACAAACGAATAAATAAATAAATAAATAAATAAATAAATAAATTAATAAATAACGAGTTGAATATTATATTAATGCAAGGAACAGAAACGAGCGGTAGTATGAGAGAAGATAACTTATTGCAGTAGTAAATAAGAATAATTAGGTAAAATAAACTGGATCTATCATCTGAACTGTGCTTGAATATAGACGGTGGAAGATTACAAGAGCTTAGAGGTTTAAAAACGTTACACGCAGTCAAGTTAGTTGATACGTGTGTTTTATACAGTACATATATATCAACTGGCGTTAAAAGATATTCATGTTTCTGAAGCTGTAGAGGAAAAAAAAAATGAAAAAAAAGTTATTAAGTTTATTGGTGAGTGAATACGTATCTAAAATCGGTGAATACATTTTCCCATAAAAGTTCCGCTCGATCAAGCTATGAATGGACTCTGTTCCTCAGTCAAGTATGTTGAATGGAGGAGGAAGGGGGCAGGAGGGGGGAGGGGGGAGGGGGGAGGGGAGAGGGAAAGGAAGAAGAAAGGGAGAGTGGGTGGAAAGGGGGGGGGGGAATATTTGCTTACCGCATCACACTAAGCCAGACCTAAACTCACCTGACAGAAAGTATTACCCGGGCACTATCTTTAACACATCTCTCACGTTTGGTTAGGGTAAGTTAGGTTAGGTTAGATTAGGTTAGATTAGGTTAGGTTAGGTTAGGTTTGGTTAGGTTAGGTTAGGTAGGCAATATAGAGAGTGACGCTCCTGTACAACATTCCTTAACTTTTTTTTTGTAATTTTGGTCATTTATGGAAATGGTATAAACAAAAGCTAGTTAAGAAGTGGTATCCATAATCAGGCTCCAACTCGTCACCTTCTCAGGAGCGACCGAAAAAAAGTGTTTTGTTTCATATCCGCGAAGTCATGAAAGCAATTACATCCCTTTGATATCTACTGTTGTTTTGTGGCTAAAAGAGGTAATGTGTACACTCTAGCATATCAATCATTTCAATGACTGTTAATGCTCTCCACCTTACAGACTCTACAAGACGATCACTCAATACATTCAAGAATAATAAAGGAATTTCAGTAAAAGGTTTTATCTGTATTTTAATAACGGATGTTCATTACGGTTACTAATTTACTTACATTCACTTATAATTACCGTTAAATACTTCCAATTTCAGGGTTTTCTCCATTAACTCTTCCTTTAGCGTTTTTAAGAGTCTTGTGCCAGATAACAGTCCTTGATTTTTCTTATGGCTAATAAAAATATTTACATCTTTTATAATTCTATGTATTCTAATGTGTAGTTTATCTTCAAATAGTTTTGTTCGGCAATGGATCTTTTTACCACAAACACACACACACACACACACACACACACACACACACACACACACACACACACACACACACACACACACACACACACACACACACACACAAACACACACACACACACACACACACAAACACACACACACACACACACACACACACACACACACACACACACACACTGGCGAATTAAACAATAACCGCTGAGGGTTACCGTCTTCCAGGAATAGAGACGGACTATTTCTCTCTACCCTGAAGATGTGAAGACAACAAAGACACTGGCAACGGTTTTGTTTCGATTTTCTTCTTAGTTTTCCCGCACTTATATGGCCCAAGTAACCTCTCTGGGATCTTCTATACCTTTGTAAATATTTATTGTATGAAAACAATTTTTTTTGATAGTTTAGAGAGAATCAACTGAGAGTCTAGGTTTAATTATTGATTATTATTCTATATGTATTTTATGTATAGTGTGGGGTTATAAGTCATAGAGACATATGAAGGTTTCTATTCAATAGTTACATCATTCTTCCTTTATTACATTAAGGAGAAGACTTTTATCTCTCGATAGTTAATTGGATTCTGTAAATGCTCTCGTTGTTATTTAACTCTTATGAATATGAATGTCTGGAGATGTTTATAAAATATCTAACTCGTATATACTATTTACGTAATCAATTTTCCTCTATCAGTATACTTAACCTAACCTTTGCTTTGTCGTATTGGTGGAAGAAACTTATATAAAATGATGAGGGAAAGAGATATACTTATACTTACACTGTTATATTTATTTCAAGACCACTTTGATTCAATTTCCATTTTCCTTCATTACAGCATGAAGCAGAAGGCACTGTGGGATGTAGTGTTTCTTCTGGGCATTACAACCACTTATGCTGCCGCTTCCAGGAACCACGGCCGCCCACTTCTCCTCAACAGTCGATCAAACAAACCTACACAAAGTCCGCCAATTTCAGACCAGTTCCCGGACAAAGAAGGTGAAAGGCGACAGCTCTCAGGTCATGCCAAAGTGAATTCCGATTATTTCTCTGACTCAGGAAATGGCGAGGAAACCTCAAAACACAATCAAGCTTCTACCGGCGATGACTCCGATAAGGTCTCTGGTAGCACTTATGTCGCTCAAAGAGACACTTTTCAGTCTTTATGGGAGATTCTGGCTTCTTTAAGTAACCGCCCAGCAGAGGATTCTTACAACATCCTGGAACTTGTAGTTAAGAACCACAAGTCACCAGTGAAATGTGAAAATCTCTCTATTAAGATGAAAGAGTGTCTGGAGAATATGAAGAGACATTCGGCAACAATTCAGAAATCTTCAGAAAGAATAAACCACCCGGATGACGTCAAACATAAATCAGAGAGGAAGCAGAATTCTCAGACTACTATTCAAGACATTGTTGACGACTCCCAGGAACAGTCAAAAAACATAAATGAATTCCCTGAGAGTATGAAAAAAAGTCTAAACAACACTGTAAACGCTCCAGACCATGTGAGTGAGAGTTACGTTTCTTTAGATCAACCATTGAGGAACCTCCAGCTATTTTTGACAGGGAATTCATCGACAACAATACAACAGCCTCCTGACAGACTCTTCAACCCATTTCTTACTACACATAATAAATATATTAACCGTGGGCGAAGTTCCTTTGGTCCTGAAGGGTCGTCTCCTCAGGCGCAGAAACATTTATTCCACTATCTGCAGAAGAAACATAACCCACTTAGAATTCACGCGAACCAAGTGTCGAAAACACCTCCCACCATACACGATGGAAGTACTGATGACTACAGAGAGCTGATTGAAGCATATCTAGAAGACAAAAGAAATGTTAATGATATTTCTTATTGTGGACATTATTCCCACCATCAAAATCTTATTCCCGGAGAACTGATCAATGCAGAATATCCGAGGGAAGGAAAAAGATCAAAGAGAACAGCAAGTGATTATCATCTTCGGCAGGAGAGATCTTCAGCGTCTTACAGTAAGTTAACCAGTCAGGCGTCTTAACAAAGTGATTTAGATGTGTATTACAGAGAAGATATTATAGATAACATTAGTCGTGGTTAATGAACTGTTTCCTCGCATTAAATTATGAATTCCAAAAACGCTAAATACAATATTCTTAATGAATCAATTAATACTTAACTTGGTGTAATGCTAATCCAGAAGTGTTAATCGTAGAGACATGTAGGATTATAATGTTACACTTAACCATTATTTGTTTCAGGAATACAGATTAGGGGAAAAAATTTAAATTCATAGAAATTTTAGGCTTTAAATACGGTACCTAGTTAAGCTTTCCAATTAGTATTTACGGAATAAATATTTAATTGACAAGATTATTATATACTTAGCGACACGCAGTTACTTACCGACTATGATACGTAATGATCCCCGTTAACCAATGACAAGCCTCCGGAAGGTTACGTCATATCAAGTGGGTGGAGCTTCTTTTTCTGAGCCCCTTAAAGGTGACGTCACTAATCAATTTTCACGCCTTTCATTTCACTGGCGCTGGATGGTGATTTTTTTTTTCTTGGGAGCTTTTCCTGTCCTGAGTGCACCATGAAGGGCTGATGATATTAAATTAATAATGCATCGTATATTAGGTGAAAAAGAAAAGAAGTTTATATACATTATCAGCTGATGCCAAGGTCTTGAGATATACATTCACTGACTGTATATATAGCATTGTTTATATATTAATATACATTAGACAAAAGAGCCGATGAAAGAACAGAAACCAGCCAGGGATAGTCATTGATTACACTGCTAATGATACAACTCGTGGTAATATTTTGCTGGCTCTCAACACCTCAGCCACGACGATGTGAATAAATATGATTCTCTTTTTCTTATGGTTTTTTTAGCTCGTGGAGTTCGAGATGTGGGTGAGTGTCTTCTGGTGTTTGTGAGACTACGATGCATTTACTCAGTGTTCATTGACTGATAAAGAGAGAAGAATGATTTTTTTTTACAGTGGGGAGCAGAGGAGCTGGGAGTGGGGGGAGGGGGTGTCAAGGAAGCATTTTTCGATATCTTAATTAAGGATTATGAATTTTTATTATGAAAGACGAGTGCATGATTGAAGTGTATATGATATAGTGTTAATGACGGATAATTGTATATGATATAGTGTTAATAACGGATAATTGTATATGATATAGTGTTAATAACGGATAATTGTATATGATATAGTGTTAATAACGGATAATTGTATATGATATAGTGTTAATAACGGATAATTGTATATGATATAGTGTTAATAACGGATAATTGTATATGATATAATGTTAATAACGGATAATTGTATATGATATAGTGTTAATAACGGATAATATTATCTTGAAAATCGATTTAAAACAACAACTGTAGTAATGACAGTGAAAGAGCTTAAGCAATCCGATTATAACTTAACCTAACCATAACATTATATAAAATCTCTTGACTGCCTTTCACGTAATATTGATCTGTTATAAGACAGATATTACTTAAGGCAGGAAATATATTATCTAAGACTTTATACTCCAAACTTAATTAAACTGAAATCAAATACGATAGAAAAAAAAATACGAATTAAGAAAAAAAGAAGCAAGTTTGGATATCACAGTTTACCCTGATACCAGATACATACACTGAGGGTTAGTAGATGATAGCGGGATAACATGTCTGCTATGTTTTCTTTGTTATCTAATCTTACCATTTATTATGCTAATTTTAAGACAGGAACATAAGATTTGAGATAACATTAATAACTATAATTCATGTGTAAATAAATTCCTTTCTAAATCGTTAAAGTGATGCAAAAAATGACTTCGATCAATGGGTTAAAATAATACGTGAATGTGGACATCAAACAGAGAAGTCATTATTAATTTTTTTTTTTTTTCATCTGGGAAGGTGATTTATTTTTTATATCACTTAGAGCATAGTATTGGAGTAGAAGTTCTCACCCTGGGCAGCATACCGGTACGTCCAAGAAGCTCTATGAGAATCTGCCTTGTGTTGTAAATCCTATTCGATAAGATTAAAAACCTGTGCCGACGTGGTAACAGATGGATCACTAGTCGGTATTAACTTTTACTTTTTTCCAGTGATGTGGAAACTTTTCACCAAGTTGTTCTTTCTCAATTGTTTGTTGGTTACGTGAAATAAATGGAAACTCTGTCAACACCACACACACACACACACACACACACACACACACACACACACACACACACACACACACACACACACACACACACACTCATGCATACAGACGCATACAGTCACACACACACACTCACTTAAATACGTGTGTTTAAATGTGTGCGCGTGTAAGTACGAATTTACGTATACTTTCAGCCAAATACACCACAATAACGAATGAAAATGAATGAAATATAAAAAATTTAATTAATAATAACACCTTGACTGACTACACTTCCCAACGTGGCAGATCATGTTGTCTACCAGGAGGACTCAGGGGACACTATGGATCATCGACCTTCCCTCACCCCTCAGCCGCTGTCAGATAGCGGCGTCAAGCTGGGTGGTTTCCTCATCGACGTTCTCATCACCACAGGACACGTCGACATCCACCTCGTCACTCAGGGCAATATTGGTGAGGTTTTTTTTAATAAGGAAGTGGAGGAGTGATTTCCGGAAAGATGTGAAGACGTGTGAGATGAAGCAGGTCGACGTGTGAAGGTCGAGGCATTTTATAAGGAAAGATTTATGAATATTTGAATTTACAAGAGAGAGAGAGAGAGAGAGAGAGAGAGAGAGAGAGAGAGAGAGAGAGAGAGAGAGAGAGAGAGAGAATAATGGTGTCGAACTCTATGAAGTGATGTGTGTATGATTCTCGGAATGATTAGCAGGTGGTGGAGCGTACAGTCTCCTTCACTCGTGCGTTTACAGGGGCTCGTCAGGTTTTATGCAGTGTGGCAGCCCTGTGTTTGTTTACATTTGACAGAAGGAAATTCGCAATAGTAAACGTACTATGAAATCTAAGTAAAACAATATTAAAATAAATATGTCAATGTAATGATTTGTGGAATGTTTATATGAAGAGCCCCTGTAAACGCACTAGTGAAGAGGACTGTACATAGACATTGTATATGTGAAAAGGAATGAAGAGGAAGGAATGATGTCTCCTTCTTCTGTCTGGGGATCTCTCTAGCGTTTGAGGTTGTAAGAGTCGGGATGGGGAATATATCTCAATTATCAGTATACATGTAGTTAAGATAAAAGTAATTTGTAAATAAAATTAACTGCATATCTCCCCATAGTGAATTATTAGTACATAACTATTGGCAAGTATTGTACAATTGAGTTATAAATACATGACCTCGTTTTCTCAAGAACTAATTCAAGCAACACGTAATGATAGCCTTGTCAATTATCTGAAGGCTGTATGAACACTCAGGATCGATATCTAATTATGTAAACAGTAAAATAAATTGTTTCTAATTATAAACAATTGCTGTTGATTGTTAGTCATGACGCAACAGATCTCATGACAAGTTACGTCATAACGTAATTTTTCGAAATAGAGGTTCAGACCCTGTTGATAGAGGCTGACTGTTGTAATGTATGTATGTATGTATGTATGTATGTATGTATGTATGTATGTATGTATGTACAGTATGTATGTATGTATGTATGTATGTAAGTATGTATGCATGAATGCATGCATGCATGTATGTATGGATGGATGGATGGATAGAAGGAAGGATGTATGTATGTATGTATGTATGTATGTATGTATGTATGTATGTATGTATGTCATGCAATTTTTTCCCACAGTACAAGGGCTGGACACAGTAGCGTCGATGATGAACGATCGGTACATTCAGATTGAAATATGGACTGACCTGACGCTGTTTCTCACACACCTTGGCCCCACGGAAGGTTACCTGAGTACTGACCAATTCATCGTGTATGGGTCTTCTTCCGACATTCTCTCCATCATCAAAAAGGTCAGAAAGGTCCAAGAATCTAAAAAATATGCAGTTGATAATTATCCCGAACTTGATATACAACAGCAGTCTATTGCGTCTCAAAGATTCCCACGTTCTCATCTAACCTAAAGAATGACCACACATTTGATTTAAAAAACTTTCTAAAAAACTTTATAAACATAGACCACTTCACAATTGCCCTGAGTCGCTCTACTTCCTGGGGGTAAAATTTCAATTTGATAAACTTTGAAATATTGGACCAAGGGATATCTGAGTAGCTCTGCGGACTTTGGGTATCATCAGATCATCTTCAAGGCTCCTCCTAGGGGAAGAGTTGTGGTATGAGAAGAAGAGAGTTTTTAGTGCCATGTTAAGGTTTCATAATATCCAGAAGGAAAGTTTGCTAACAATATTCTTCTAAGGTAGAAAGATTAGTCTTAAACTTTTTATGTATTATTTTCATAGTAGTTTGCGACCTTCCAATGGTTAAAGTCCTCTAAGACAGGGGAAATATTATAGAAAATAGAAAGCACAAAGAAAAGTTTATTCACACGTATGGGAAGAAAGTTGTATGGTATTACCTCTGTGTATGAGGTAAGATGCGTTACTCGTACTCTCATGGACAAAGTTGGGTAATATAAAGGTTATTGTCACAGGTGTTCAGATTGTATTGTTTTGTTCCAATGTAGTTCGGTGCATCAACTGGCTTTTCATTTCTTACTGTTTGTAAAAGTTCACCAATTAACGACCTTTTATGTTACCCTCCCTTTGACTACACAAGTTCAATTATTTACTTGCTTTGTACCCTCTCTTTGGTCAGACAAGTTTATTGTTTCTTTGTTAAATTCTACACTGTGGGAATCCAACGTCAAATCAATCTAAAATTGTTAATAAAATTTCATTACAATATATGCATTAGCTCCATCACTTCAAGAGGGTAAACATTTTTCATTAAGTTTAACAGGTAACTAACTTCTTCGTGGTCATAGAGCTCCATCGGGTAATAACGTGGTTCCTCGTCTTGCTTTCATATAGAGACGAATCTTCATGGACGTCATCAACACAGGGGTGAGTCTTTGTTTATTTTATTAACACATACTTTCCTTTTTGTCCCTCTTAGTCTTCTGGTTGTTTATATCAGCGTTTCTTCCTGCTTCTCTTCTGTCTCTCTTCCTCCTGTTTACACTAGAGTTAACGTGTTGGTGTATTCACAGAGATCATTAACGGAAGCATCACTGATTGTGGTTGAATGTGGGTGCGCCAAGTCCCTAGACTTGCTTGTGATAGGTTTGTCTCACAGGATAAATATCTTCTGAGTAGATGCATCTCTCTTAATTCTTAATTGTTGAGCAAAAATCACTACACAGTGGCCAACTTCGATTACTATAAGGAATCTATAACATTAATACACAATGTGAGTATTTAAAGGAAGATAACAAATAGTACAGAGGCAGAATTGGATACAAAATATATTTCTACAAAAATAAATCTATTTAAGTATATATAACTGTTGACAATTTAAAGATACGGTATATATTTGTGTGTGTGTGTGTGTGTGTGTGTGTGTGTGTGTGTGTGTGTGTGTGTGTGTGTGTGTGTGTGTGTGATTGATTGTTTACATATTTACCCATTATAAGCAACTTTAAGTTAATACGAAGTGTTGGACAACCTAACCTAACCTGACCTAACCTAACCTAACCTCTGTACAGATAACAACGTGGTACTATGTGGTGCTGGACGACACAGCTACTAATCAGGAACTAGCGGATGCCCTGGAGGAGGGGTCTCACTCCCTCCTGCTGCGCCCCTCACAGTATTCCTCACAAGACTGGGCAGCCTACACCCTTATCTCTCCTGGCGACGGCACCAGGCACTTCCGCTTCGTGGGCAAGTGAGTCGGCCACGTAGGCGAGGGGAAGTAGGGGCTGTAGGGTGAATTAATGAATGAAAATACCTGAGGGAAATACAAGTAAAGTGTTTAGGGATGATAAACACATGGAAAGAAGTGGGGAATGAAGAGGTGGCGATGTAGGGTAAGTTTTAGGACTGGAAATCGCTTGAGAGTTAAATGTTGGAGATGAGAGGAAGTTATTGGATAGTGCAGGCAAGTAGTTTGGAAGGTAAAGGTAAGGAAAAGGAGAAATTTAAATTCAAAAGACATTTAAGAACAATACTTTAGATGAGATAGAAGTCTGTATTTCTGACCAAAGCGTATTTGTACTGTACATCATTGACGTGAGCTAAACATTTTATGGGGACAACTGAATTTTGAAAGTGATTACAATGGTTTGAATACCCAATTAAATCGGATTAACTTAGATGCCGGGGGATTCAAATGGTTTTTAAAGTCGGGTCCGGTAATGTGGTGATAAGCTCACTCATTGGGCTACAATAATGATATAAAATATATTTCGAGACATTTCCGAGTTAATCTATTTCATTTAACTTTGAAACTTAATATTATTATTGCAAGAGATAAAAAAAAAACATTTACTAACAAGATAAAAATTGTGTCGTGTTGGTTAGTGTAAAAGGTTGTTCTCGGAAATGAATAAACACAAAAAAAATTTAATTCAGATGAGAACTCCAGTGGCCTTTATTATACTGGTATTGTAATGGATAGGAGCTTAGTCTTTAGTCACTTTTACGGGGGCGTTTTGCCTTAATTGTCTGTTCCAATATGATTTTCAAAAAAATTTCCCCTGGGAATTTTACTGTAATGTTAGTTATTGCAGGCAGGATATATTGTGATATCTAATGGAAAATAATACTTGTTGAATAATGATGTAGGTAATGTTCTCATGTCAACAAACATCAAACGTGATATGAAGCTGAAATGTGTATAGGATCATCTGACTTAAATAATAACAGACTAAGCTGTCGGCTGTGTGTGTGTGTCTGTGTGTGTGTGTGTGTGTGTGTGTGTGTGTGTTGATGGCCTGTTTCTGTGTGAGGTCAAAGGTAATTCTGCCACTCACAACGTCAGTCTAACATGAATATTCTGCGCTTCACTACACTTTACATCCATATGCAGTTGTGTGTGTCAGTGCAGTATGAGGACCACAGGCGCTGTAGTGGTGTTCGATATTCAGCAATGTAAAAAAAAATAGGCTGGAACAACTCTATGAAGGTGTAAACAATTCTCATGCCTTCTTCCTGGTGAGAGTTATATTAAATCATGATAATTGTGATAGAAAAACACATTATAAAGCAAAAATTAAGCTCTAAATCTTAATCGAATCCTTATCTTATATGACAAAATGAAGATAATCTTAACAGTAACATGAGCAAGATTGTATTAGTCTCAATTTAAATAATCCTTACGTCCAGAGGGCAGAGCTTTTAAAAGATATTAAGACAGTGTATTATGTAACAGCCCCTCTGCCTCTCACACAGAAGATAAAGTATTCTGATTAATAAACACATTAATTGAATAAAATATATATCACTGAAGCTTCTAATTGCGGATCTCACAGTACTGCATATGGAGAACGTATAGTGTTCAAGTTATTATTTATTGATGATGAAGGTTTTGTTCCTAGCTCCTTACTACTGGAGGTGAAGGAGTGGGCTGAGGATGTAAAGATTATAATAGGCAAACTGTAGTGATGAAAATATTGGTGTAGATTAAGAGGAAAAGAGAAGAGATTATAAGAGACAAGTAGAGTGAACACCAGATAGAGACACATCCGTAAAGATACTTTTTTGGGGGTTAGGTATTGGTGAGATGAATAGACGAGCTGACACATAACACATAACAATATTTAGTCCACCGCAGACACCCGCATGTTTAAACTTCCCTCAGGTGGACCAAGGGTAACGGGCTGAAGGTAATAAGACAGCTGTTCCCTCCTTTTTCTACTAACCTGTGGGGCCGAAAACTCACCATAGGCGTCATCAACGTGAGTACCACTTAAATAATTTTTACCCCCACCCCTTAAGCTATATTTTCCTGCTCATATAGATATACCTTTTGAGTCCTCGTCCTTGTTTTTATGTTCATCTCTTTTAGGATACATATCTTGAAGGTGTACATTGTTTGTACTCTCTGCATACACTTTAATTCTATTGTGTACTGCCTATTTTTTTTTCATTGTCGTTTATACACGCGGTACATCTTTAAGCTAGTGTTTATACTCACTAGGATGTTTTTGTTTCTGTCATAGTGTATATCATTTTACGATAATAATGACAGAATGTAAAAATATAGTGACTCTAAATTTCTTGATATTTTTATTTTGACGGCGCAAGTCGGGATGAAGAGAGTGTTGTAGAAAATATTATGAATAACTAGATATGATAATGAATGTTTGCTCACGCCGTTAAAACGTCTTGAATACATTTTCTTGATGAGAAAAGTAAGAAAGTTTTAATATTTTAAGTGTACGTAATATCTTGTCACTCGCTGTTTTAATCTTAACATTCGAGAATATCAAAAGTTTGGCTAAACATTTACTCTTCCTTCTTTCTTACGTCGAACCTTGACCCTCACGTAACACTGACTGGCACCTGAGCAATGTTTTAGTAACATACATGAAATTCTCTTTTGTTGAAATAAATAGATTCATTCATACACTCGCTTTATTCTAATTTATTCATGATATTACATAGAATTCGGAGTCCTGTTCCAGATTCCAAAAATTCCTATGTTTCTTCTCTGTTTTTGCTTTGTTTTTTTAATTCCCTGTTGATGTTGATGTTAAGTGGGGCAGTGGCTGTGACTGGAGTCCATAATATGGCGTTTACTCCTGCTCTTTGATATTTGTAAATGGTGTTTTAGTTTGAACTTGACTTTAACCTTATTTGGGACTTTCTGTGAAGCATTAATGTGGCTTTATTTGTTGTTTTACTTCAACTTCACTGGTAAGGGAGAGTAGGTGACATGGGATAGGTAGGTGGGTGACTTAGCAGGGAAGGTGTGTATGGGTGTACTGGAAGGCTATGTGATAATAGTAATCAGCATCATCTTTCGAGAACTCTGAAAATGTTTAAAGAGTCTCTGTGGTGCGTAACCCAAAAGATCAGATTGTGGTGTCAAAAAACCTAGACAAGACATGAACCTCAAGACAGCTCCAGCGTGTGGAAAGGAGATATGACTGATGAGCTTCTGCGTCAGGCACACCACCAACTATGTTTTCAGACTAAACACTATTAATTTCACGTTAACGATACACATCGATCTTTTAATGATATATATTCTTAGTACGACCTTCTTTGTAGCCACAGTACTTTATCGAGGTGTTCATGAGTTTAATTCATAATGAAAATATTGACAATTTCACCCATCGACAATGATTAAACAGGCCTTTCACACGCGTTAGAAAAGCAAACTCACGAGCAGATACTCTCCCCGGTGCCTTAAGTCAGCAAACACTCTGATCATTCTGTCATGTGTGTCCACAAACATGTTTGCCAAGACATGACACGTATTAATAAGCACACCTGAGTGAAGTGTTATGGTAATCAACGAAAATAAAATGTTCTCACTTTAACATTTTATGAAGTCACATTAACACAAACATGACTTGTTATATTAATGTATTAGAAAAATGAATCACGGTAATAATATTTTTGTTTTCCTCTTCTGTTTGTCAATATTTGTGTCTTATTAGCATACCGAGCGGAAAAAATATATATATTACTGACTTTGATAAAACAAATAGTGGCCTTTGTAGCCTTCGGGGATTAATTAACGTTCCTTGATAAAAAAATACAGCGGTGAAAGTTACCTATATGATTATAAACAATATCACTAAATGTATTTGTATTTTCTATTGGACCAACAACACTCAGTTACACATTTAGGAATTATTGACAACCTCCGGATATGTAAAAAAAAAGAAATTCTCACATATCACTTTTATTTAGATCAGTAAAATATTAAAGACAAACGTATTTACGGACCGATTCCCATCAGACAAGCGAAGAAGTAAAAAGAAATATATATTATTATCACAGTAGAATTTATAATTGGTGCGATTAGTTACAGCATCAATTTTCCTTAGCGCGCATAAACATGGTGTAAACCAAATGAACGAAAATTATACACATTCATATCCCTTTTCTCTTGCAACACATTTCTAATAAATTTCCCGACAAAGACCTCTCTCTCTCTCTCTCTCTCTCTCTCTCTCTCTCTCTCTCTCTCTCTCTCTCTCTCTCTCTCGTTGACTTCACATATTCCTTTGTTTCACCTTTTCTCTTAATCTCTGTTTGTCATTCCACTTCATTTTCTGTAATTCTCTTTTATCTTATCGTCCTCATTTTCTTTCCCTTGCCCTCCCTATTTCTGTCCCTTCTTTGTTGAGTTCCCTCTTCTATATTTTATTCCCTTCCTTCCCATTTTCCTCTCCAGTTTTATTTTCCTGTCTTATTCACTTCTCCCTCGCCGTCTTATTTCCCCTCTCTTTCCCCCCCTCCTCATTTTCTATCTCATTCCCCCTCTCATTCCCTCTCTTCACTTTCTATCTCATTCCCCTTTCATTACCCCTCCTCATTTCCCCTCTCATTCCCCTCTCTACAGAAGCCGCGAGTGTTGCAGCTACAGGAGGCCACGAGGTCCTCCCCGGCCACCATGGAAGGATACTCCCACGATATCCTGGTGGTGATAGAGCGCTACCTCAACTTCAGCGTCGTCCCCCGCAGGTTCAAGGACTGGGGCACTCCAGCACGCAACGGATCCTGGGATGGCGTCATAGGAGCCCTCTTCAGGAAGGTCCTTAATGCTGTGGTTTGATTTAGATTTCAGTTTGGGAGTTTCATTGTACGTTAGAGGAATCCTGAGTAACTTCACACCTATAAATAAAGTATATCTAAAACCCATCCACAACAATGGCGGGAAACATCTCGTAAACCCCACGTGCCACTCCGCCCTTCTTCACTCTTATATAGTTAAAATACGAAGCATATTTTCACACTAATGAATGTCCTTCAACTTTCAGCCTTTTCCCATGTAATATCTCACCAGCTGAGGGATATTATCCACCCGATGTGGGTCAGTGACCTGTGCCCAGGTGGACTAACCCCGTAAAAAAAATCAAGCTACTGTTTTTCAAATAACGTTATATTTCCAGGATTTATCTGAGCGTTATATTTTCATCACTATAAAAAATTTTCTCGTGCGGTAAAAGCTTGAAGTTTATTACAATGTTTTTGACCGGTAGGAGATTGACTTCAGCCCCATGGACTTTACACCAACGAAGGAGAGTCGTGAGGTAATGTTTATTGTTATTCTCACAGATATATAAACCTAGTTATATATATATGACTGAGTTAGTTTACACACATATATAGCTACGCATAATTACGAGACTGACGATAGAGAAACACATTTGAAATATTATAATTCTTTGATATTTTCATACGCGATAATATCAAATCCAGTCATTCTATAATTACAGTTTTCATGTTACTGCCAAAACCAGATACACCTGAAACTTTTTATTTATGAAATGATATTACATAATGACGAATTTACTATTGAATTACAAAGGTTACTGACGTTATAATTTCCTACTCTCTCTCTCTCTCTCTCTCTCTCTCTCTCTCTCTCTCTCTCTCTCTCTCTCTCTCTCTCTCTCTTCATCAGGTGATTGACTTCAGTGAGTGGGTCGGCGAAGATCCTGTGGTGATTACCTCAGCAGCTCCTCAACCCATGATAAGGCCCTTCCTTCTGCTGGAGATCTACCATCCCTGGGTTAGTAAGACCTACCACCATTCCTGGGTTCGTAAGACCTACCACCATCCCTGGGTTAGTAAGACCTACCACCATCCTGGGTTAGTAAGACCTACCACCATCCCTGGTTAGTAAGACCTACCACCATCCCAGCACCAATAGGGGCGTTGATAGAGGAGGTGAAGGAAAAGGGGGGTTGATATGGAAGGGAGACGAAGATGTGGCGGCGGGGGTTAAAGGCATACCACAAAAATAGGAAAAAAGAAAAAATGCAAATAAGATTTGAGAGAATAGGAAGATGAGAATTATTTTGAGAGAGAGAGAGAGAGAGAGAGAGAGAGAGAGAGAGAGAGAGAGAGAGAGAGAGAGAGCATGAAGTAAAGGTTTATAAACAAGAGAAAAAGAGAAGAAGGTAAAGGAACTCAGAGAAAAGGGTAAGTAAGTAAGCAAGTTAGTAAGTAAGTAAGTAAGTAAGTAACCACCCTCTCTCTCTCTCTCTCTCTCGGTACAGTGAAGGTAAACAGAGTAAGCTAGGGTGTAGAAGCCTTGAGCCACACAGAACCACAAGACCGCTAAGAATAACATCACCATCTCCTTCGTCTCTTACCTCAATCTTCATCTTTATTTTTAGCATCCATCTATAATCTTTCTTACTGTCGCCCAATCATCCCTTTCCATTCACAGAAGAGATGAGAGAGGAAACCTTAGACACATGAAGAGCACAATAAATATTTAATTGAATAAATAAATAACATTGTGGGAATACAGTCAATAGTTATAATGAAATTTTTAATAGGTCGACAAATAATAATAATAATAATAATAATAATAATAATAATAATAATAATAATAATAATAATAATAATAATAATAATAATAATAATAATAATAATAATAATAATAATAATAATAATAATAATAATATCAGGCACCATCCTTGACCTGGCTCAATGCTTCTCACAATCAGCAGCAGTTACACATACTCACAGAGAAGACCCCTACCCACTCCTCTCACTTCCCTAATCTCTGTTTTACAGTCTATAAAATACATATATGTTGTCATCAAGGGAGTATTATTTAAGGGAGAAAAACCACTCATAATGCTCTGTTACGACACCATTCTCTTTTATCACCTCAGATGTGTTCGTTCATCAGGCCTTCGCTCTGCTTACAGTCGACGTGATAAGTTTTAATGAAAGACTCGACTTGGCCTAAATTTATACCTTATAATACAACAACAAGAGCAGTGTAATATTACCCTAACTGTGGCATATATTTTTATCTGAAGATTGTAAATTAATTTCAAGTGAGGTGGACAAACATTACACAGGGAGGTTGCTGTGTTATCTCCCTATTTTGTCCATTACTTTTACCGCGTGTGTTAACAATAAAAAGGTGTGAGGACGTACGGTAGGTGAGTGGCAGCACAAGAGCTTCAAGTTTTAATCATAATGTGAAATGGATTAACTTGTGCTAAAAGGTATAGTAAGAACAGTTATGTGAGGTACCAGGGTTTAATAATTTAATAATGGAAATGGTGAAACACGCTTCACAACGCTGAGTGTATGAAAAGTGTTAATGAATTGGGAATTCACTTATGAATCTATTGCTTTCTCTATCCAATATTGAACCGGCTTGGTAATGCTAAAATGTCTTCCATTTTCAACTGTATATTTGGTTGTTCAGATTCATTATTCACCAAGAACTTTTTTTTTTAACTTGGGAATTGTATTTACACTGAATGGGTTGATTTTACAAGAGTAATTAACATATTTAATTGTTATACCTACTGGAGTAACAGTATATCTCACGACAGTATACACATGTTACTTGTGAATCTATGTATACAACTCAGCATCACAGAATTATATTGTTTTCGATATTGTCATAAAAGGAGGAAGGTGATAAAGATACAGAGAGACAAAAAAAAAGACATAAACAGACGTAGATATAATTACATAAAGAAAAAATAAGAAATATGATTAAGTTCTCGGGACTTCTATGCTGAGACAAGCCACCCTCTTCCCCTACAGGTGTACGTGTCCATGTTAGGTGTGCTGGGGATGAGTGGGGTGACTATATATCTGCTCACCTGGGCTAACGTGGTACTCCTGAAGGGGGTCTACCCTCCGCCACGCTCACTGCGCTTTACGGACTTGTTCTTCAGTGCCTGCAAGACCGTCGTGTCGCAATGTAAGTCTCCCGGAATCAGTAAGTTTTAACGATTTATGAAGTTGGTATCTTAAGGACATTGAGAGTTAAGGAGAGAAGTTAAGTTAAAGACAAACATTCAGTAGCTTTCCTCAAGGAGTTTATGTGAAAAGAATAACTAAAGAGAGAAAAATGAAACAACTGTAGGGGAGAATACAGTAAATTTCAGTTCCAGACCTTGACATTTCAGGATAAAAATATTGAAATAAAATAGTTTTCCTTTCGCTACAGAATATTAAAGTCCATGATGAAAAATATAAAGAAAAAAAAACAAATTAAAAAAACATCGAATGCGCCTCGGGTATGATGCAACAGGAGGTAACAGATACTTAAAACAAGGTATTGAGTTATACCTTTAACTGTAATTCTTGAACACTTAATACATTATGGAGAATTATACATTACAATCCTTATGTCGATACAGTTTTATCATGGCTGCTTGAGGTTTATTTCTGTAAAACCTTTTCTGAAATAGGCTGATTTAGTAGCCATGATTTATTGACAATATATAAGGAAAAGTTATTATCATTATCTTTTATAAATGGAACTTGAAACTTTAAAATACAACTAATATGCAAAACTTTATGTGACTATCGGTCTCTCAACTTTAGTTCTCGAGTGACGTCATCTACCACTTGGGAAAATGTCAGATGTGTTCACGTCAACTATTCTTCTCAGGTGGTTGTTTGTTTCACAGATTTTGTTCATGAAAATATATCATTAAATCAGAGTTAAACGATACGGTACCACACATAAATGCTTTTCTTCTGTATTTAATTTTTAAGTAGTTCTTCCGATGGACGTTAAGAAAGAGAAAGAGAGAATGAGAAAGAAAGAGAAAAAGCAGTAATTGCAGCGATAGTTTGTGCGAGTCTCTTAGGACCTGTGGAGAGAAAGAAAGATAAGAAATTACAAAGCGAACTTAAATGGGGTCTCTCAGCGGGCGTAGCAGCTGTCTTAACGAGTGTTGGTGAGACTCGTTCATCTACACTAACAGTCTTTCTCAGTGTTCCTTCATACTCACCTGGATCTTTCGTTACTAGTGATTCATCTCTTACTGTAGCGACCTGAGATATACTTGTCATTCTCCAATTTCAGCCTTCAACTGTTTGCATCACTACATCCTCTACAGTATCTACACGAAAGTAATCACACTAACAACTACATTACATCCACTAAAATACAACTTTTAAATGGGAGTCAGAGAGAAGGCTTGCGGGTTCATTCGTTGTCACACCGCACACAACACGGCCAATGGGCAAATAAAACGATTGTCGAAATATTGTGGTAATCCTTTGAGAAAAAATTATCACCAAATGTAATGCCTATCCGTATATAGTGAACACCGTGTACAGGAAGACGTTACTGAAAATAACTTAAATCCTCGTTTTTTTCTTCCTGCCAATAGTTGGTGGTGAATGACCGAGCAGTCAATATAGGAGGGAGAGATATTGAACCATGGGGGGGAAGTATGACTCAATCTCGATTTGGCATTGGGGGGAATATTTTTTTATCTATGAAATATTTGTTTGGGTTTGTGTGGACGTGTGTTTGGGTTTGTGTGGACGTGTGTTTGGGTTTGTGTGGACGTGTGTTTGGGTTTGTGTGGACGTGTGTTTGGGTGTGGACGTGTGTGGGTTTGTGTGGACGTGTGTTTGGGTTTGTGGACGTGTGTTTGGGTTTGTGTGGACGTGTGTTTGGGTTTGTGTGGACGTGTGATTGGGTTTGTGTGGACGTGTGTTTGGGTTTGTATGGACGTGTGTTTGGGTTTGTGTGTATGTGTATGTGTTACTTTAAACCCATTGATAAGTGGACTATGCTATATATGCATATAAAAATTTTGCACATTGGCACTTCAATATCAACTCATAAACTTTATAACTATATATGCAAATTCGTTCATTCACCCAATCGGAAACATGACAGAGGCAGCTGGTACATATAATGGGGAGTTGACTCTTTCAGATAAAGAGATAAATATTCATATTATAGGTAATTTATTATTAGACTTTATTATGATCAGATCATTTAATTTGCATTTATGTAAATTTTTCGATTATTACTATGACCATAGGGACCGAAAGTTGTTAATTAGAGTCGTTAACGGTAACAAAATGAATGATATTAATAATTATAATTTATTTCTTGTTTCTTCCCTTTATCCTACGTGGGCAATAAACACGGAAAATGTCTGCGTTCTGATATTTATGTACCAGCGGTCAGCACACAACTTTGGAGCCCGTATTTATATGCGTTAAGTATACAAGCATTCAACATCCACTTAAGTCTATACACACCTCTGGTTAAGACAAGCCCTTGCTCTATACACACCTGCTTAGTATGCACCGAGGCTCAAACTAAACCTTATTAACACACTTATGGTCAGTACACACCTATGCTCAATATACACCTGTTCATTACACCTAATCCTTGCAGGGGTGAGGGTGTTACCGAGAGAGTTTAGTGCCAGGGTGTTCTTCATGATGGTGCTGAGTATGTCCCTAGTGCTTGATGCCGCCTACCAGGGACACATTACTGCCTTCATCGCCCTACCTAGGTGAGTGAGGGAAGAGGCTACCTTAGTGAGTGAGGGGGGAGGCTACCTAGGTGAGGGGGAGGCCCTACCATGGTGAGTGAGGGGAAGGCCCTACCATGGTGAGTGAGGGGGACTACTTAAGTACCAAGGTGAGTGAGGGGACTACCATGGTGACTGAGAGGGATTACCTAGATGAGTGAGTACATGGCAAAGAAGATATATAAAATGACTAGAAGAAAGGATATTGAGAGAGTAAGAGAGAGAGAGAGAGAGAGAGAGAGAAGATAATCAGGTGAGGAAACCTTGAAACTCTTGTTCTAACAGTAAATCCGATCTCAGTGAACTAGCAAAAATTTGGGGGAGAAAAATTACATCTGTGAACTGTTTGCGGCTTCAGACCAGAATTGTTGTTTCAAAGTTGAGAGCGGCTTAGTAGTTTCAATGCAGTTAAATGATAATTGCTTATGTAACGTGAACTTTGAGAAATTTCAATTAAATAGCAGAAATTTCCAATCACCCTAAAAAAAAATCTTTACACATATGTTTAAGTTCATAAATGTAGGCGGCACTTGGCGAGAATAGATATAATTTGTTGAGAGAAAATATTTGAGGAACAGAATTTGACCTGTATTTTTTATATGCATATAGATTAAATAATAGTTATCTTGAGTGGGATTATATATAGACACAGGTAAAGAGAATAAGTAAAGGTTATCTTGAGTGGGATTATACATAGACACAGGTAAAGAGATTAAGTAAAGGTTATCTTGAGTGGGATTATGTCCACAGATTCACGGCGGTGATCGACAACCACGAGCAGCTGTCGGCAAACAAGAGCGTGATTCCGGTGACAGAGCGACACTCAACCACCCAGACGATGATCATGGTTAGTGACAGCCGGACGGTGTGTGGTGTTAAAGGCATGCGGGAAGGTAGGTTGAAGTTGAGGAAAATGAAGGCAGGAAGGATGAAAGAGGGTAGGGAGGGGGGGGGGGAAGGGGGAGAAACTGAGGTGAGATGGAGAGAAGGTAATAAAGAGAGAAGATTGGAAGAGGGAGAAAGTGAAGTGGGAGGGATGTTAGGTGATAGAGAGAGAAAGTGATGGGTAGGGAAGGTAAAAGAGAGGGTAGGTGAAGGAAAAAAGAAGATGGTAGTGAGGGTTAAAGGGAAGGTAAAGTATGGTGGTGAAAGGCGAAGAGGAGGGAAAGATAGTAGTGAAGAGAAGGATGAAGGGAGGCAAGAAGGGAAAGATAGAGAGCTATTGGTGAGACATGGAAAGAGGAGAGTGAGAGGAAAGGGGGAGAGAATGGATAGTGCAGGGCTAGGATAATTAACCTAGTGAAACTGTGGAAAGGAAAGGAAAGGAAGAAGGAAAGTTAAACCTGGCAAAAAAGAAGGAAGAGAGGGTGGAAGAGGGAAATAATGATGCACCTGAAGAAAGTTAAAGAGGAAATCTGGAAGAGAGGAGACGGGACAGAGTAAAAAAGAATAAAACTGGCGAAAACCTGGAGGAAGGGAGAGGAGAAAAGAAAATGATAAGGGAAATGAGATGGTGAAAGTTTGGGAGGGGAGAAAAAAGAGAGAGAGAGAGAGAGAGAGAGAGAGAGAGAGAGAGAGAGAGAGAGAGAGAGAGAGAGAGAGAGAGAGAGAGAGAGAGAGAGAGAGAGAGAGAGAGAGAGAGAGAGAGAGAGAGAGAGGTTAATACACGAAGATGAAAGGGGAAAAACAGTGTGACATGAAGGAAGAACAAGGAAGAGGCAGAGGGCCGACGGATGGTGGAATAGGACAAAGGAAAGGAGGAGAAAAGTCAGAAAATGGATAACCTGACGAAGTAGTGAGAGATGGTGAGGCTGGAGGTGGGAATTGATGAGAAGATAGCTAAGGAGAAGAAGTAGTGAAGATGCAGTAAGGAAAAAGGTAGATAAGTGATAGAGAGTAGAAGAATGAGACGAAAAAGGAGAAAGGAGAGAAGGAGAGAAGGTCTTTGGGGATTGGAGGAGAGAGTAGTGAGGAAATGGAGAGGTGAGGTAGGCTAGATATTTGAGTAAGGGAGGGATAGAGGGAGGAAGGAGCAGTCACAGTCTTTCCTTACTTTTCTCTCTCTCTCTTCTCAATTCACCTCCTTCTCCCTTATTTCCTCATCTCCCTTTCTCTGCGATATCTCTCACTCAAACATCCAACTTCAATATCTCCTCGTATTTCCTCTTTCTCACATTATTTTGTTTTGTTTACTATTCTCCTCTTCATTACTTCTCATTCCCTCTCCCACGTTCATCATCATCATTGAGTTCCTACTTCATTTCACTTATCACTGGCTCTCTCTTGCTCTCCTCCTCTAGCAACCATTAATTACCCTCTCCACTCTCTCTCCTCCTCCCTCCTCAATAATCATCCAAGAATGTTTTCCGTCGTATCCGAAATTTAATCAGACTTAACCTTATGTTTAAGTAATTTCAACTTCAACATCTTAAAATTTCAAAACACTTTCTGATTCAAAGGCAACACAAAACAGGTAATTTTGTCTTCTTAAACGATCGATTTTTTTTTTTAAGTCTCAGTGGACAGGACAGGTAAATCATGCTATGGCGTTCTCTATCCTTGTTACTTGTGACAGGTACAGTAAAGTAATTAATTCATACCTTGTGTACTCTCTCCGACATATGTCCTTATGAGACTGTTTTATTCCTTTATTCCTTCTCTTGTATTTATTTACTCTTGCTCTTTATCGAATTAAAAGCTGAAGATTCTGAGGTATTATTTTCTAGCAAAGTCTCATTCCTCTACTACATTGACTCCTAAATACTATTCGGGTTATTTATTATATTCTTGGTCACTTCACCGTCCTGCAGGAATCAGAGAGAGAGTCCTTCCAGAAGCTAGCGGCCCGCCTTCAGGTGTTTGACGCTATTTTTTTGGACTCGGCAGCCTTCTACGAGGGCATCGCGGTCGGCAAGTGGGCCTTTGTAGGTGAGATGGGTAGAAAAGTGTGTTTATACACTCACTCACACACACACACTTTTATATACTGTAGCCTGTGTCAATTGTGGTCGTAGTAGCATTTTACAACCTCAGCTAGAAAGTGCGAGGCTATTAATAAATCCGTACGTGTTTTCTAGCTGGGGTTTGTAGAAGGCAGCTACGACCACAGGTAACACGGGCTAACCCTGGTGGACACTCTCGTCGCTGGAGAATAAGACGATGGATTAGGCTTTGTGTAAAATACAACAAAGCCTAAATTACTTATAGTTGTCCGAGTGGTGCCGTGGTAACTCTCCCTGTTACCATGTGTTTGTATATGTTGAAGGTTTAGGTTAGGTTAGGTTAGGTTAAGTTAGGTTAGGTCAGGATAACAAAAGATGGCATTTGACCTCCCAAGTCCCGTCATCCTTCTAACACGAGCAATCCTTCGTATCTTGCAGCGACATCACCCTACTGTAGTGAGGATCAACATTCCTAAAGTTTAATACGAAATTGTGTTAACTGAGGCTTGACAACTTATACGCTATCCCAGCATAGAAGTCAGAGGGAAGCGATGTTACTATTATTATAAATAAATAAATAAATAAAAATAAATTAAATAAGGCAGAAGTAGGAAAATATAATACATATTGAAGTAAAACTCATTCTCTAATTACTATAGCAGTGATTTTCAAGTTCTTCCTCTCACGGTACAGCACACATAAACAAGTATTGAAATGAGTTCCACTGTACTGCTTCACGGCCTTAAGAAGAAAAAAAAAATTAACACAGAATATTCCGAAAACGGTCGTAAGCTATTCACATCTGCCACCCAACTCTTGTTTGTGGAAGAGACACGTAAGGTAGAATTTAATCCTCTTAGTTAACTATAAAAGTATATTCCCACAACTTTTTTACCACATATATTTTTTTTTCGTCAACTGGTGGCCATTGTATAGATTAATGAATAGAACCTTTTGATTTAGTTTTTATCAGAGCCATAATTAATGAACTCTTTATATCTCGATAATATTACAGGGGGAAAATTTAATAGTTAATTTTCATATATTATTTCGATTCTTCTTGATAGTTACTGATATTATAGAATTTTTTTACTCCACAATCCTTCATAACAAACATCAATAATACAATACGTATTTTATAGTTATACGTATAAAGGAAGTGATTTTGCTTATAAACACATGTTATGTTATTTTGACTGATATTAACTTAGAGAAAAGAGAGAGGAAAGCAAAATCTTAAATACCACTCAGTTCAACATTGAATTCCAGAAAATATATTAAATGGATGTTTGTGTGTGTGTGTGTGTGTGTGTGTGTGTGTGTGTGTGTGTGTGTTTAGCAATATACAATTGTGTGAGAGAGAGAGAGAGAGAGAGAGAGAGAGAGAGAGAGAGAGAGAGAGAGAGAGAGAGAGATATTGAATGATTAAAACAGTGAAGCAAACAGCAAGAAACAAACACACATTCCCATTTAAAAAAAAAAGTGATTAAATTCGTATAAATTATTATTTTATTTTTCCACTGAACAAAACGCTTTACACGGCTATGATTCTTCACAAGTCACTACCCACCGATAAAAATAATTACAGTAATTAAAAATCCTCCCAATCAATTGAAAGTTAGGTTAGGTTAGGTTAGGTTAGTCAGATGTTATTCATTCCGTCAAATTTTCTGCGAATTAAAATATTTATATGAGTCTTTATGTTGGTAATATTGAGTTATAGCCAATCAATACGTTCAACAATTTAATTCCCCGTTGTATTATATTTTGGGGGGAATATTTCTTAACAGTATTTAGATTCATTTAGTGAACATTAATATAGTTCCTGGATGCGGTTGATACGAAAGAGTTGAATGAAGTTTTATCTCAATGAAAGTTACTCAACCAGTATGGACTATAAACTTGGCATAAGATAACATTACTAATACAGATTTTATCAAACTGAAGACGGACTCATTTCATAGACTCATACAGCTCGACGTACGGAAGAGCTCTGGACTATGAGGTTGAAGGCCAACGCTGCAGGTTCTATGTATCAAGAAACAGTGTAATTGGAGGTCTTGACGCATGGCCATTCCCCAGGAACTCTCCCGTTCACTCTCAGATATCAACCTCGTAAGTGCTAGTGATATTCATTGATGAGCTATTAATATTTGCTAGTGATACCTAGTTCTAAGCTATTAATATCTGTTAGTGATACCTAGTTATGAGCTATTAATGTGTGCTAGTGATACCTAGTTCTGAGCTATTAATATCTGCTAGTGATACCTCGTATTGAACTATTAATATGTGCGAGTGATACCTACTGTAGTTATGAGCTATTAATATGTGCTAGTGATACCTAGTTACGAGCTACTAATACCATTGCCTTAAGGTGTTCATATCACTGAGACGACCGCCTTAGGGCACAATATCATTTCTCTACTTATTAAAATACATTATTCCCTCTTACCCATTCTCTTCTTCCCTTAGACATAAAGCCTCTCACACATACTTCTCCCTTTCATCTCCCCCTTCCACAGACTCAAGTGGCTGCGTTACTACGGCATTCTGGAACAGATTAAATCCCGTTATTACCAGTCCAGGTGTCAGACGACCAAAGGGCTCAAGTCTCGGGAGGGGCCTAACAAGATGGATATATTAATGATGCAGTCTAGTTTCTACGTGTTAGGTGTTGGCTGCTCCGTGGGGATGTCCGTGTTTGTAGCCGAGATAGTGGTGGTTACTCTGAGGAAGTACTGCTTGTGGTAAATGTTGGTTGGTGTTGGTGGTGGTGACTGTAAGGAAGTACTCCTTGTGGTAAATGTGGTGGTGGTGGTGGTGACTGTGAGGAAGTACTGCTTGTGGTAAATGTGGTAGTGGTGGTGGTGGTTACTCTAAGGAAGTGGTAGTGGTGGTGGTGTTACTCTAAGGAAGTACTGCATGTGGTAAATGTTGGTTGGTGTTGGTGGTGGTGACTGTGAGGAAGTACTCCTTGTGGTAAATGTGGTGGTGTGCTGTGGGTGGTGGTGGTGACTGTGAGGAAGTACTGCTTGTGGTAAATGTGGTGGTGGTGGTGGTGACTGTGAGGAAGTACTGCTTGTGGTAAATGTGGTGGTGGTGGTGGTTAGTCTAAGGAAGTACTGTTTGTGGTAAATGTGGTGGTGGTGGTGGTGACTGTGAGGAAGTACTGCTTGTGGTAATTGTGGTGGTGGTGGTGAAAGTAGTCACTCTGAGGAAGTACTGCTGGGGTAAATGTGGTGGTGATGGTGGTGGTGGTAGTCACTGTGAGCAAGTATTGGTTGTGGCAGAATTGAATATATATAATTTTGCCTCGGTACAGCGGCTAGTTTATTATGCACACTATGGGCGGTAGAACAAAAAAGGATTACAGAATGTTTCACAGCTGGTGTCTTAACGGATCCCAGTGGTCAACATAATATAACGGTTTCTTCTTTGTAACAGTAGTATAACACAGTAATGGGGAGAACATGATATCTCTACCTTTACCAACTGTGTATCTGTTGAGGTGACTCTTAGTGTGTAGAACAGTTACTTGTGAAGCTGTCATATATATGTAATAACCTTCCTGGGTTGTCACCAATGTTTTCCTTTTCTGTGTTTATTATAAAAGGTTTCCCTGTACACTTTTAAAAAAGGAGTATCACCGTAACTAAATTACTATAGCTATTAGTGTCAAATGAGGACGGAGGCTATATTAAATAGCTCTTCTGAAATACGTCCTGTTGGCGTGAGGGGTAAAGTAAGAGTGCCTGTAATACCCGTCGAGGGAGAACGGTAATATACGTCCTCCCTCGAGGGACGAAGGAACCATCCACAATGGCTCTCAATAACGTCTTCCTCTAGTCAAGGATATCAAACTACTGCCCACAAGAGATGGCCAGAGAGCGGCTACTTAATGCATTAACTCAGCACTCGGTGGCGCGACTTCCCGAGGGCACACCTTAACGGCTTAACACGTGCTATGATCGTGCTTCCTCATAGCTAGTGGAAAGTTACAAAGGGTGATAGAGTATGTCTAATGTAATTCACCTATTTATATAAATACTTGTGCCTATAAGACAAGGGCTATTACAATATAGTGGTATTGAAAGTTAGAAAATATTTACAGTACATTGTCTATTCATAAAGGGTGATATAGATATAAATAACTGAATATTACAAAACAAAATATTATAGCTAACTCACGATTACATGTAACCACTCGGATATTACATATTTGCATATAAATTGCAATATTGCAGTTAATATACATTTCCGAGCGAAAATTTAATCATGCCTGTGTTGATACCTTGTCTCTATGTCAGACTAGAGTCACTAGGACTAGATCACATAGCAAGTATTATCTCTCAATTATTAAATTGTTTGATTCTCTAGTAGAGATTCTGATAAACTTGTTCTTTCAATCGTTTCCTACTCGAATATTTCTGTGTTGAGACTACTGAGAATCTCTGTTGTACACTGGAGCATTTCTCATATCTCTAATATACCGTTTGGGATCTATATTATTCTGACCTTCTTACATAGTTCTAGCTCTTGTCATTCTATTTTTTTTTCTGCGGGAACAGTTTTAAATTATCTATTCATCATGATTACGTGCTAGAACACCTATATATTATAATGTAAACAAGATGAAATATTTCTTATAACCTTATTGATATAATTATAATATTGGAACCCTTCATAAATATCGTGTTATTTTTTTTTTACAATATATTGTAATACCATATTCATATTTTACTTGACATGTTTCTTTCATTGACTTAATTTTATCTCCTTCTGTGAGTGGTGTAATTTCTTCCGGGATCATTTAACACGTTTTTCTGTTTCTCTCCTCCATACTTCTATACCACCGACGAGAAACTGCTCGAGTATGTATCACAGTTTTTCGTATTGAACTTGAAGAAAAAATAATTTACTACCTGTCATATAAAAATTTCATTTACATTGAAGTCTCTGGAAGGAATTGAAGGCGATGACGTGATAGATTGCCGACATAAATTCCAAGTAAATATTTATATATATATAGGAAGAAGGAGAGAGCTTAAAGGTAAGGTAAAAGTTGGTGTGTGTGTGTGTGTGTGTGTGTGTGTGTGTGTGTGTGTGTGTGTATGTGTGTGTGTGTGTGTGTAAATTGAGATTATTATTATCTATTAACACCATCAGCCTGTGTTAATATAATGATGGCTGATGAAACACAGACTCACACACACATTAACTCAAACAATCTTATGACGCTGATGACATAATGGCTTTAATATGCTTAAATAACTAAGGTCGTTAACTGCATGTTCAAAACTAGTTAATAACACTAGTCATGAATAACAAAAAACAATTGAACTTCTTATTATTAAACGTCTCTAAACTCCTAATTATCACCATATTTAACCGAGTCAATTCTTACTACTTGTGATGGAGGTAAAGTACAGTGTGACTACTATTGTTTTATTTTTACAACTTGACATGCCAGCCCTGAGGACATTCTTGTTTTTCCCAATTAAGTAAATTTTAGAACTTTGGCGAAATAGTGTCACACGGGTAGTTTCCTCTTTAATCGTTATGTTATTACCTATAGTCCTACAGTACTCTACTCTGATAATTATTAAGACATGTTATTACCTATAGGCTTACTCTACTCAAATTACATAACAAGGCTTTCAAATTTCAAACCTTCATAACAAGACATTGCGCATAGATGTAAACTAAAACTTACTTAATATAAAAGGGTAATATATCTCTTCGTTAGGTTATATTTTAATTTGTTTTCATAAAAGGTAAATTTTATAATGAAGTCTCCACCTCATAATTGCTTACTGCTCACCCCTATGTAATCATAACACACTGACTACATGAAGAAAAGTGTTAATAAATAAAAAGTATAAAGTAAAGACAAAGATAACCCTTATTTTATTTCTTCTAAACGTTAATTAAACATCTAGGTGATTCTTTGTGTTATATTTTTCCTCTCATTTAAAGAAAACAATTTATTAGTTCAAAAATTAGTTTAACATTAAGTATTATTGAATTTTTATAATTATTCTTTCACTGTAAACTTAGTCTTATTTACATTACAAGGAAAAAGTGAAATGCAGGAGGAACGGATTATGACTATGGTAAAGGATAGTGGAAATATTTTTAGTTTCAGGATATATTTAACACCAGAGCGGGAAGATAAATACTGATACACGAATAAGCCGAGAGATTTCTATTTATATATATTTGTAAGATTATAGAGAATTTTAAATCGACACTCAGAATTCTAGTTAAGGTGAACGTACTGGATCTACCTGTCCCTTACTCTCCATCAGTAACCAACACAATCTCCTGGCTATCTCTCCTCTCTCGTGTATAATATTATCTTCATGAACTCCTAATACTTGACACTGATAATAACTTATTCTTATCTATTCTCTACATTCTCCTTTACTTCCTTCATTCTCTTATATGGGGTTACTCAAAGCCTTATTTCTATCCTCTGTCGCTTTATCGCTTTCTTACACTTTATTGATTAACATTATTAGTTATCCCTTTATCTTTTATGCTTTATTGGTTTTACTGTCATATTCTTTTCATTTATTCCAATTTCATGCTGTTATTCCTCTATTCCTCGAGTCTGACCTTGTGGGTATTCATCATTCCAAATCTGTTCGACCATTAAGCAGCTTTTCAAAATACTGAGAAAAACGCCATTGGTGAAAAATTGAAAAGACAAACAGAATATTCAGAGGAGAGATGAATTGAAGAGCTATGTGTGTCTGAAGTAGAGACAGAAAACACTTATAGAACAGAAGGTAAAGTGACTAGATGAGGATTTCCATACAACAGGTAAAAATACTCAAGTGAGGAAATGAAGGGCAAGATAAGGTGAAAATGAGTAAATATTTTGGGAAATGTGATGTGAACGATATTATTGTATGGAAGACTAGACCAAAATTGTTAAATAAAGACATGGATAAAAATCATCTGTTTACGTTGGTATATATTCACTTATTCTAATGTTTTATGAAAGATAAACAGTAATGGAAGACATAAATATGATTAAGAGGGTATAACAGTGATTTTTTTTTCTTAATACTTTGTCTTTTAATTACGAGTGGGACGGAGGGGCATACTTTAAAGAATATTATCCACGTACAGCTGAAATTAAGTACCTATATTTAATGGGTCTTAAAGTTACTATCATGTTAAAAAGATGAGGGAATAATGACGGCTTAATGTACCCAAACTAAAAATATTTTTACAAGAACGTTATAAAAAATGTGGCAGAGTATGCAAAAGTTGGCAATTATATTTCCTGAAAATTATAATATTTTTTTTTTTGCCGTTCGTTAAAGGAGGGACTTTATAATACAGGAATCACCTTTTTTAACACAAGCAATTACCATCTGAACAGCTGATATTCAATTAAAATAAACCTTTATGATCCATATTATTTTAATTAGAACTAATCTCCTAAAAAATTATTGTAATATTATTACATTAGCATTTATTCGCTACGCTGTCAATATATTCTTAGACTCCAGAATGTATGCATGTCTGGTAAATAGAATAATGTATGGGATATATACTGTTATTCATTAAACAAAACCAAGATTATTTAAAACAATACGACACCCCAGCTGCACCAGTTGACAGTTGTAATAGATAACAACAATAAAAATGTCAACTTTGGTAATAAACTTAGAACAGAGAGAGGGAGGAGGTCACAGCAGAGAGAGGGAGGAGGTCACAACAGAGAGAGGGAGGAGGTCACAGCAGAGAGAGGGAGGAGGTCACAGCAGAGAGAGGGAGGAGGTCACAACAGAGAGAGGGAGGAGGTCACAGCAGAGAGAGGTCACAGCA